TGGTTGGGAAGCCTGAGGGGAAGAGACCGCTGGGGAGACCTAGACGTAGATGGGAGGATAATGTCAGGCGGGATCTATGGGAGATAGGAGTTGAAGGAGACTGGATTTTGTTGGCCCAGGACAGGGTCCGGTGGAGGGCTTTGGTTAGTTCGGCGATGAACCTTCGGGTTCGGTAAGCCATCTAGTTAGTTAGTTAGTTATATATACAAATACTTGAATACAAGGTTGTCCAAATATTTACGACGCCGTGTTTTGCCCAGACGGTTCGTTGTAAACGGAGTTGGAAACGAGTACTCTTTAGAGGTTGTGGACAGCGAATGAATCAAGGAGAACAGGATCTTGAAAGGCGGCGGATTGAAATGCGATCCTCTCAGGTCTGGATAACGTATTCCCCGCCTGACTTATCTTCACTGAATTAAAAAACTCACTACAGCTCGTAAGAACTTGTGTACGTCGAATGTGGACCGAGATTCTGCTCATCCTTTGGGAATTTTTATGAGACACGTGGACGCCCTGTGAAAATCTAACCAGTTCTTTAGATAAGGGTTGCTTTACCACTGCCGACAAAGGTCCTTCTGAAACTACAATGAACCCAAGGCGTGTCTGGATTTGAATGCGTTTATACGAACATGCATTAATATCACGTTCACAAGAGCGCTGTTGGCGTGCATTGCTGTAAACTGAAGAAAAAGAAAAATACCCTGGGCGTTCAGAAAGAATATTGTTCGTTTCTGCGATCTTAGTGCTGAAGGCGTGTTTAATCCGATTTCTCAGAAAAGGAGTCGCCTTTGGGCTGGAGTACAGTTGCGTGCTATCACGACAGGACACGCGTTATTGATCGCAGTGTAATGGCGAACACGGAAAGGCAACTTTAAGCAGTCGGAAAGTTCACTGTAAGACATTGGTTATAATTTGCCAGGAGACAATTAAATATAGAACAGAATATTAAAATATTATGTCAGTCACTTTCACGAACTCAACATTTGACAGATTTCTTCTTTATGAACTACATGTTTCGGCCCAGTGTGGCCATCATCAGGCTCGAATTAATTGTTGGAAGTCATTGCTCTGATAAAATTCTCTCGTTGTTTCAAATAACTATAATATTATATGAAATAAGCTTATTTTATATTCCATACACTACACGGTATGCAAAGTTTTAAGATTATAATATTATAGGTTCAAATCAGCCAAGATGTTTTAAAAATCAGTTAAATATTTAATGTCACCTCAGCTGTGTGTCACGTGGTGTGACTTCAAGGCGTAATGCGGGCTGTGATGCGTCTTTGTCATAACGGATGGGCGGATGTTTGTGTGCTGCCATCTGTGTGGATATTATTTAACTTTCTGATATTTCGTTTATAGACTGGGTAATTGTGGTCAATATTTAAATTTATTCACATGTATTAATTGTTTGCTAGCTTAGAATATATGCACTCTTTTTCAAGACTATACAAATTTAGAACACAACGAAGTATAGACCTTAGTAACAAAACAAATGACTACAACATATTTTAGGCAAGTGGTTGATATTTATATCATTTATGATAATAACACACCAATGTGACAATCATAGTGGGGTTAGACACAATATAACCCATAATAAATTTTAAAATAGGAAATGGATCAGAGAAAAACTAAAATATCATGACGTGAACGTCCATCAAAAGTAAAATAAATTCAACTTCAGAATATATAGAAAATCCAAATACACAACATCTCGTGCTACTCAAATGAGATAAAACTAGCTATGATTAATTACATCATAAATACATTAAAAAAACTTGTCTATTATCAAAACACGCAAAATCAGCAGATTAGACGTTATGAAGACAATAATTTAAAAAAAAAATCAACAAAAACTTACGCACATTCACAAACTCCCCAAAAAAGAATACAAAAGGGCTTATTTACACACAAATGGTGTGAAATTAAAACTAGTGTAAAATTATTTAAACACGCAAACATCAACAGAGCCTACGAAACACATAACACAAAAGAACACATATTACGAGCGATACTATCAACAACAGATAGTGCCATCTATCAGCAAAATTGTTTAAAAAGCCCAGAAATTATGTTGTCCAAAAAGGAAAGAAAGTTTTTATTTAAGTCTAGATGAAAGGAACACGTTCATGCCACGTGAGCTGACAAAGATTATTCCCGACACAAATCAGACTCTGAGCGCACACACGGAAATACAGAGGACGATCAGATCGACTGTACATAATAAGAAATGCCACAAAAGGAAGATTTCTCTGCGATCCTGAAAATCAAAGCCTTGTCAATGCAACAAAATCACGTCGTTGTAGAGGGACAGCGTAGTTCGGTAATTCTGACGTGCATGTGTTTTGCGTAAATAAAATAAATCCAGGCCAACCTTGAGCCACTGACCTGGAAATTCAGAACCTACAAAAAAATTTCCGCTTACGGGGGCACGAACACCCCTGGAGCCATCAAAATGAGCTGACAACTTCTTCACTGTTTTAAAGTGACTTTTAAAAACATCCTGACTAGTTTCAAGCTGTAATATTATCGTTATTTCAAACAACATCCACAGAACGAACTGCCAATTGACTTACATCACATTCGAACCTGATAATGGCCGCATTTGGTTGAAACGTGTAGTTCAAAATAAAAAGATCTTTCAGTTTTCCTTCATAACTTCATTCATTTTCTTTGTTACCGCTCGTCTCCTACATTTGATCCTTTGTTTTTACCCAAAAGCCCTGAGGATGACAGCAGAGATTACTCTCGAAACGTTGGCAGAAGATATGGTTTACCTGACGAGGCTTGTAACCCGAGAGCCTTTCATAAACTTCAGTCGCCGCTAAAACTTCACTTTATACATAAGGGTATATTAAAATACTGTTCAACAGAATTTATTCATATATGATATACATTTTAATTTAAGTCGTCACGTTAACTGCTAGAATAACAGATACTGAACCACATTCTCATAATATGAGGCATACTCAGACGCAGAGGATCGTCAGTTCGAGACTCTTCTATTTTATTTATTTATTTTAGTGTTCTGTCTGACGACAGGTCCATATGAACAGGATCCTTCCATCCTTTTCTCGGACTGGGACCTGTTCATATACGTTCTTGGCAGATGATCCAGAAGTGGTTTGCCATTGCCTTCGTCTGTGTGTGAATGGAGTAATTGTTGGGAGGCCACGGAGAAACCGGGGAAGCCCCCGGAGGAAAACCCCGTGTTGCCTAACTCCGTGTTGCCTAGACCACGGCCTTGCCCAACACAAGTTATAAATTCGGGCACCGCCGAGAATCGAACCCGAGACCCCAGTATTACAAGGCCAGCGTTCTAACCGCGTCTTTTCTGAATCGAATGAGAATTTTCGTCAGGGACAGATCTCAGAAGGATTCCCCCGTGAAGATGCTAAGTCCGTGGACTCCGAAGAGAGAAAGTTTGGATCGACCTTATCGCCACAAATCGAGAGATGTTCTGATGAGAAACGAGGCAGAATATCTTTTTCAATAATAACACTCGTGCAACTCTATTGACTATAATCGTTTGTCACCTGTTGATCGTCTGTTTTGAGTCTGAAGATCATCATGGCAGGTACATTTCACGGCAAAGACGCTGTCCTCAGTGCACCGGTAATTAATTATTTGAAACAATTATCTCTCGTTACACTAGTGGACGGTTACCACCTCGCTGGTCGTCGTAATGTTGCTTTCTGAATTGATTTTACTATTAGAGCACGGTTCTTATAGTTAATGCATGTAATTAAGTATCACACGGCGTATTATAGTTCATATTAATATTACATTGATAGTCGTTGAATTATTGATATTTTTCTTTTTTGAACCCAGCGTCTTGGAAGCTTTTTGCGTCCTTCCGTTGACTGCTGATTTTTGCACTGAAATATCCACCGCCTGTTAAAACGAGTAAAGCAATGAATAATATACAGGGTGAGTCAAAAGTATGTTTACGAACTTCGTATGCCTGTTACAAGATAAAAAATAAGAAAAAATGTTCCCATGAATATGGGGTCGCAAATGTTTCATTTTCGAAATAATAGCCAAAAATAAGTTTTATTTCGTTTTTTTCTTATTTTATAATTCATCAGTGAATCGAGACAATATATTCTCATAAAATTCTGCTTTATGGCTCTAGTTCATTAGTTACGTATGTTAATTTTTTTATATTTCATTATGTTAATCACAAAGAAGGAAATAAATTAAGCGATATCTTGACTGACCTCTTTAGTGTTCGTTAAGATCTTTTTATGACCATGCGGTCGATAAAGTTCAACGTTTTGCCCCAGTCGCGAGCATTTACACAAGACGTGTCACAAGGTTTGCCTTCCGAACGCCCAGTCAGACTCAGGGCCTGAATACAACCACGCAATAAAGCGGCCACCGAATACGTACGTTTTCCGCACTTGTCGAAGTGGTTGGTGGCTGGATACTCCGGCAGGCACTGACACGTGGGCCTCTTGTCCCCGGAACAGATGGCGTTATCGAAGCCACATTCGATGGTGGCGTCACATTTGTCACCAAACTTCTTGTCGCCCATCTGTACGGTTTCTGTGGACACAAAGAACACTGCGTACTTAAAAGGTTCGCTCGCAACTTCGCGTTGTTTCTGGGTAGGATTTGAACTTCTCACGACGCCGAGGATGAAGATCGCTGTCTCCTGGGCGGTAGCACCGTATATTATGGTAGATGTGTACTAGTGTTTCACAGGTAATTGTTGCCTCCATCATCAGGACGATGAGGTAGGATAAACTTCTATCAGAGTGCACGGCGCCATAATCCAGAAGACAGCCATCTACATCTGCATATTTTGTTTAAATTCACACTACGCCTCTGGTTATCACGCTGATGATGAGGTGTACATGTGCGCCGTCTGCATTAGGCCTAATTAGATTTCAAATGTGTAAAGTATCGACATTTTACATTGTATACTAAATCATTTTTATATCCTACGTCATATTCATTAGATGATCTGTGTCTTCTTACAACTTTTCAAACATATATCAACCATACCCCGTCTTGCCCCGGGAACGGGGCAAAATGGGGCAAGTTACATTTTTGTAAAAAAAAAATTAATATTTTAAAAAACTGTAACTCTTAGAACTAAACTAATAACTCATTAGAAATTTCAAATAGACAATAAATCCACACAAGGTTCCTCCATGTGTTTGTCTTTGTTATTGTCCCTTCCACATGCCTGCCCTGGTCTCCCCTAGTTTCAGAAGCTTGGTATTTTAATGCCAAATATAGAATTTACTTTACTACTTTGTCTTTAAAATTAATATTTTCTCTAAGGATTCATAACTCTTTTCGCCTACGATAGTGTAGGACGTGTCCGAACTGAAGTACAAAATAAATTTCCAGAAATGTATAATTTCGAAATAATCAGAAGGCTTTACGTAACATTAAATTTTCGTGTTGCTGTAACAGTTTTTATTATACGTTAAACGAAATTGTTTCTGTAGATCGATTTCCCTTATCGTCTGTCGTCGAAGCTCTGAACTGGAGCACTCAGATGACGAGGTTACGTTCCTCGAGGGTGTTTTGGAACAGGATTCTGATAATAACATTTGTAAGTGCCAGGGGGGGGGGGATGGAGAAAGTACAATGAGGAATGCCATAATTTGCAGTTTTAAGTACAGAACAGATCTATTTATGATCCACATAAGAATCTCCATATTCATGCTTTCTTCATTAATTTCCCTCTGTAAACATACATCTGAAATAGATATATTTCAGGAAGCATATTTCGAAAAAAAGGATTTTTTTTAGAACGGCGACATTGAAAGGTAAAATTATTTTTGTTTTCCCTTTAAACAACCTATTAAGTTTTAAATCGGTTTTTATACTAATTTCTTAAGAACCGAAAAAAGATTAATTTCCGTCTTATCCAGCTTATTTCGAGACAGATTTATTGTATTTGGTGGATATTAGGTTCAGAAAAGCGAAAAATACCCTCCTTCATAATCCTTTGAGAAATGGTTGGCATAAGCCTTGCTTGTTCAACCAACTTTTACACACCCACGTTTAAAGTGACGTGGTATTCTGTTTGTGGAATTAACTTATTAGTAGTTTTCGTAAATGGATAGAACAAAGTTCTGTGTTGGGTCCTGCTACATCCATTACGACACAGTAAGCTGCTTAGTTAAGAGATAAATAATTTAAAAATACAGGGTAAGAATGTGTGTACCAGATATTTGTCGTAATAATACATTTCAGGAAATACAAACAAATTCAGACCCTAAAATGCGTAATGTTGTGTAATTTCTTATGCATTTCCGCGGATTAATTTTTGAGCTGTTAGCTACTACTTAGGCAACCCGTTCTTTAAGTGCCTGAGCATCTGCGGGTCCCAACTTTTCGTTGGCTTGATCTATAGACATTCGATAGGACTCCTCGGATGAGGGATCGGCCCATCGCAAGGCCTCTACCTGTACACAGGACAGCATAACACAGAAGAACATCCATGGCTTGAGTGGGATTCGAACCCACGGTCCCAGCGACCAAGCGGCACAAGGCCCACGCCTCAGACCGCAGTGTAGTGCGTTTTAAACCTATCGGCAGCAACATTCTGGACATGCGAATATCTCATAATGATCGGAAAGCTTACCTTATTAATTAATTTCACACATTCCCGTCTTTCTACTTCATTTACTAACTTTAATATGTTCATAATTAAACATTAATTTATTTCTGGTGGTCAGAGCCACCAACAGATACAATTTTCTTCTTGAATTTGTGTTATTATTGTTAACAGCTGTTTAAAACGAGATTCTAGGGAAGGAGAATGCAGATGTCTATGACGTCACTCCACCGGGAACATCAAAATAATTAGAATACTGTAATCTTCCTTATTGATTCCTTGTCAGGTTTATTTAGACTACGAAGGGCTTCGTGACTGTTGTCTTGATAAATTATTTATGACGTCTCATTAAGTGTCGCATTCATTCTTGCATTTGGAATCCTGCCTTGTAAGTAAAATATTCCTAAACCCTAAAATATACGAGGGTTCTTCGAGGTTAATCTGTATTGTCCAAGAAAGTGTACTTTAGATGGATTCCAAAGATGCTGACATTCGACGAGTAGGTAGAACGTGTTTCTATGTGTACCGACCATCTGACCCGGATGAGACTGGAGGGGGAGGGGACCATTTTCGGAAAGAAATGGTGTCTTGTGACGAGACGTGGTTACACTACTTAACTCCAAAATAAAAAGGACCAGCTTGGAAGGACCACAAAGGATCTCCACCACTGGGAAATGATGGTAAGTGGCTTTGAGACTCTCAAGACGTGATTCATGTCAATTTTCTGCAACTAAGGCACAGTATTAAAGTAAATTGCTTCTCAGTGATGAGGGACCAGTAATTCGCAAGAGAATGCATAATAAATCGTCAGATTGAATCATCCTCCTGCGTGAATCCACGCAGCGAATTTGACAAAGGCGACATCGATGATCTTGAGTCTGGAGACGTTGAATCTAACCTAACCTAACATAACCTAACATAACCTAACATAACCTAACCTAATCTAACCTAAAATAACCTAACCTAACCTAACATAACATAACCTAATCTAACCTAACCTAACCTAACCTAACCTAACCAAATTCCTTTGCGCAAAGGAGAAGTTGCCTGATGGGATAACCTCTCATCAGCAGCAACAGACCCTAGTTTGAACAGTCGAGGCTCCCACCACTTAAAAACCCCTGTTAGCGCAAGGCTCTGTTTACCATTTCCAGCTATGCGTTTCGTACGCAGGAACGGTGTTGCCTAGCAAAGGCCGATGCCTTGCGCATGCGCAGAACTCTGCCCTTAGTTAGCTTTTTCGTTGGTTGGTTGGGGGAGATAGCATAGTCTTATAAAATTTCAACTAAGATTACAGGTTTTAATTAATAATTTTGGAGGAAGAATAATATTTGACAAGGACGTGTGAACTTACGGACAAGTGACAGCGTTCATTAACTTTTGGATCTTGATTTCATACTTAATAAAGTCCATATTTGGAGTATAATGCAATTATTATTGATAATATTTTTGCTAGGGGCTTAGATTCACAAGTGTGAAGCTTATGGGAAAAGTGAGGTTTGCGAGAGGCACGCCTATTTAAAATCAATGGACATATATAATTTCTCGAATAAATCAAGGTTTGTCCACAGAAACCAAACCTTAGAAACCTAATAAAAAGGTAATTTAAGAAAGATGTCTGATCTTAGAGGTTACGGCCATGTGTGAACAGGCATCATGTGGGAACTACAGATTTAAATTAATGCAGGAAAGGCAAATTTCCCTGCATCTGGCGACAAGTCTTGGTTATCGGAGCTGTCCCGAAAATCTGACAAACGGGTCCGAAAATCTGAAAAACGGGCGGTTAGAACGCTGGCCTTGTAA